TAATGTACAGGAAATATCATTTCTTTAGAAAGATCTCGATGTTTTGGGTACATCAAATATTGATAAGATAAAACCGTGAAATCATCCCATTATGACAGATACCCTTCAAGTAACATCAATCTAGTCATGCTCCACGCACCGAAGCTTAGATTCGCATAAAGTGACTCATAGATTGGCCTAAAAATGTGATGAAATTCCAACGTTTGGCGTTCAAGTGTCTGCCAGATAGGGGAAAAATGCCGGTGATAGCAATCTGACATTGACATTGCCCTGGATCCCGTGGCTAAAGCTCTAAATTTGTAGCACACTCTATAGGAATTCTCGTACCATTTGTATATTGAACCCGATGACATCGCCCCGAGTGCCAGAGAGCTGTTTTTCGTTTTTTCGTAGCAAAGATTAATTGGCAAGACTGAGACGCAGTGTCGAATAATTGGGGAAATACCCGATATTAACCCGCCATGGCCTTTGGGGAATAAGTTTTAGGTGCATGGCGAATAACTTGTGACGCATTCCGAACAGATAATACATCGAACCGATGAGCTGATCGGCAGCCCGGCAATTTTGGGCAATCAATCAAAATAAAAATCAAAATCGAATATCGGCAACTGGCCGGAAATGACCCACTCGCCGACTGCCACGTACTAACTAACGATGTCTCTAAATGCTTATTAGCACTCGGAATTAGCGACTCGCCAAAAAATAATAAAAATAAGATGAAGCCCGAAAACCCCTCTTCTCAAGTGTGCGTGTGGCTGTGACGTCGCCAGTGACTTGTGACTGAGATCCGGAGCTCAAATCTCTCGAAATGGGGTATATATACGAGTATAATCGGGTAAATTGTAAGTCTGGTAAATCATGCAATCGCACAGATACATTAGAGTAGCACGCGCCGGTCAACTGAACGTGTGGCTGGTATGGATTTGTATCTCTGGAAAGTTTCTGGCTGGATTATTTGGGCTGGAAATTGACACAGCATGATAATGAATGCAATACAAATCGATTATCACTTTTAAACGACGACGCGTCGCCGGCTAACACAAGGCGGTTAGCGAATTCCTAATGACTTGCACACGGCGTGAAGGATTAGGTTTTTCTCGGGAAAGTATAGCTCCAGATTCAGATTCAGATTCCGATTTGGATTTGCCTGACAACAGCGGGAGATCACTGATCACGCGACACGCTCGCTCGATGATTATGCAAGTTTTCGCAATGCGTCAGTCCGCCAATCTCCAAAGTCTGGTGACTATTGTCTACTGGCTGGCTTAGGGGTAATTAGCACCGCCAAATCACCGACCACTGACCACTGATCACCCTGTCCACTTGATCACTTGATCACCTTCGCCGGCTCTTTGGTTTCAGCCAGTCTAGTCTAGTCTAGGTGTTAAATGCGCCGCAACGGAGCCGTCAATTGCGTCAGGATTAGTGGGATTACGGGTGCAATCCCCCCGGGGTCTTAAGCCTTTGGGCGCCTTTTTTAGCCAGGATTAGGCAATCCTCATCGGTGAGCCTCAGGTAGTCTCTGGTCTCACCACTTCCACTGTGACAAATAACAAATTGCATAAGTTTGCTCAACTCTGGTGACTGGTTCCATACGGAAACTAATTACGATTGTCTGTGGCCGCGATAAGTGGGTTCTGCTGAAGGCTTCCTTTGTTACAGAACGGAAATGTAATAGGAGATTACTTTCCAGGAATGCAAACCAAGAAAGCAAAGAGTTCAGGGTGATTTCTTGGAATTAAGGTTGCTTTTATCAGAAATGATTGTGGAAAACGTATGTTTCGCATTAGTAATATTGCAATTATATTAAAAGTGCATTCTTTAGTGGGTAAATAATTTTAAAATTGTATTCATATTTTACAAAAGTTAAAAAGTTAGTTTTAACAAAATTTAAATTAATAAAAGTAAAAGCCTCATTTAAAAATCGCAAAGGCATTTTTTAGATCTAGAATAGAGACCCCTCTGATCATGCGGAATTCTCGGCAGTATTTTCCTAACAACCCCCATTGCCTTCGATTCGCTCGACAAACACCGAAGCACGCATATTCATAAATATAAATCCCACCCTCCGCTTTCTGGGTGTATCGACATAATTTGGCCTTGAGCGGTTCAAGTTCGGCGGCGTCACTCGCACAGAGAAAAACAAAGCGGCGAAATGGAAACAACACACAGAGCAGAGCAGTCAAACAAAGCTGTTTCGCTTTTGAATTTTGAAGCTGCAATCTGTGGGCCCCCCGCCCACAGAGAAAAATAAAATAAAAATCACCCGCACATCGGATGCGATCGGATCCAGTCACAGTCGCAGTTTTCGGTTCCAGTCCCATTCACAGTCCCCTAGGTTCCGTTCCCAGATAGCGCAGCTCAAAACTGAGTTTACTTTGTTTTTTTCCCCTGTTTTTTTCTGTTTCACTGTCAAAGTTCCGGCTGAGCGCCAGACATGGAATCGCGCACATGCCATTGCTTCGAGTGATGTTTTTGTTGCATACGCTTATGTGTACAATGAACGCGCCTTGTGGGTTGGGTTGGCTGGGTTTTGGTCGCATTTAGTGACTTTATTGCGCATACGCCGCGTGAGCCATTGGAATTGCTATTTACTGTTTCGCCGTCTCTTATTCCCTTGTTTTGATCTGCCACCTAAAACACACCCCACAAACCCGATCGCCGATCGACGATCAAGTGGGTCATTGGACGAGCCAAAATATCGAGCTTGCACGATTATAACGACCTTGGCCGACCTTGAACGTCGTTAAAAACATTGTTAGCTTGTTCAATTGCCAATAACAAAAGCAAGAGCAGCGGCCGTAAAAGGAAAAGTTATTACCAATTGTGTGCGATGTTGTGATTGGTATAGGGAAATTAAAGAAATGAGAGAAATTAGTTTGAATAAAAATACCATACCATACTTAAAAATTAATATTTATTAGTAGATATTTTTTTAGATCTGGCTCTGCAATTGTCTGAAAAACAAGGTATTAAAGAATCAAGAGAAATGGTTGTATTCATCTTGAAAACAACTCAAGTGACCTCGCATGCTAACCAGAAGCAGATTCTTGGAATTGATAATAAATATATTTTTTTTGACTCATCCTTATTCAAATTCAATTTAATCACCATCCGATAATTTCGCCACTATAATTTGACTACCGAAATACAAGCTCGATTCCATTTGGAGATTTCCATACATAATAATAGTTATTAATATGAAGCCAGCGTACGGTCGCAGCCAATTATAAATCAACAAATGATACCCCAACCTGTCTTTAGCTTTCCCCCTGTCTATCTGTCGATATTGTCGTGTTTTTTGTGCCCTCTGTTGTTGTTTTATGTTTTGGCCTTACTGTGGTAGGGCTACTGTATAATTCCCGGGCGCAAAAAGAGAAAAAACCGAATAACCGAAAATAAACAAAATATTCAAACAAATAAGCGAACAAACAAGCTGCTTCTAGTTATTTGCGACTGATTTATGGGGAATTCCAGGTGCGTCAGCTCGAGTGGTTCTGTGGGTCGTAACTCTGGCACTGACACCGAATTGGGTGTCCAACTGTCGAAGTCAGTTTACCCAGAGAGAAATACAGAAAATGTTTTATACAATGCAAATAGCAGGCAAGTTAGCAAATAAAGCGAGCACGAGATAAACCCGAAACATTTTTGCGGAGGGGGCTTAGTGGTATTTAGACTTTGTCCCTTGGGGGGTAAATGTTTTCCAGAAAATTATAAAAATATTAATCCTAATCTTTTCCTTTACAGGCTATCATCTAGCCTGGACTTTAGCCAAATATTCTGGTTGGCTGTTTAAAATGCAGCTTTTATGGTGGTTTTATTGAGCTGTGAGTTATGGTGCTAACCTTTTTTTCTTAACTTTTAAATCATTTTTTTTCCTGTCCACCAGCGAAATTCCAAGCAAGGTGACTTTTTCCGCCGTCTGCTTATTTCTGGGTGCGAATTTGAAATGCAAATTTTTTCGCCATCGGACTCTAGGCCCCGATCATAATGCTCACAGATCTCAGCTTATATATACGGGTATGTGGATTTCTAGTGTTTTCTGTGCACATAAAAATAAAAGGTATTAATTAACAATAAAAATAACTTGACTGGAGGCACGCTTTGGCGTTATTTCATCGACTCGGGGGCACAAATGAGTAACAAATGGGAGACAAAGCTGGCAAAAAAACACAAAACCTCAAGAAAGCAACCGTCCAATGGCAACAACAATGCCATCGATCTTCAGACCGAAACTCTTTTGTTATTTGTGATATTTTTGGCACTGTTTATTTATTTATAAAGCAGTCACAGTCGCAGTCACATTTGTTTTTCTTATGGCCACAATCAATCTATGGCGCGAAAGCCAAAAATAAATCGATCGCTAAGGCTTAACCGCAAACTTAGCGCCTTGGGCTCAGCCGGAGATATCGTGGCCCGACCTTATGACGCAAGTCTCACGTCTGGATGTCTAATATTCAGTAGCCAGTAGCCAGTTGGGGTTAATCCGACCGATCCGTTCGATCCGATTCGTCGCTAAAAAGTCGTGAGAAGGGCCACCACTGTTGACAATTCACACCCTGGACCGTCTAGAGCGGAAGATTTTTTGTTGGCTTCCAGCGCCATGGAAAACTACAGAGAGTTTCTTGGACCCAGACCCCAATTTGCTATCATTAGATAGACTCACTCCGGCGTATTTACAAGCTTTACGACTTTTAACACCTGATAACATTTGATTTAGATGTCCACAATTAGCGGATGACAAAAATTTCCATATCAGTGTGAATCTCTCTGTCTGGGGTGTCAGGAGGTATTTTTGAAGTTCGTTCCGCTCAGTCTCGGAGATTGGCCTATTTTTAGATGGGCCACGTGCAGGTTGCTATCTCATAATGACATTCTAATCATTTTGAATAAGAGGCTTGGAATTAAGACGACTTTCAAGCAAAGTTTAGATAGAAGGATGAAGAGTAAATACATATTATTTCTTAATTATACAGCTGATGATTCTTTCTTCTCCTTCTTTACGTAAATAGTTGCGATATCGCCATTGTGAAAATCGCCACCAAAATTGATCCAAATGCTCCGTAGTAAATGCAACAGCGCTGCGAGGCTGCAGTTAGCGCTAAGCTGTGAGGAACCTCGTTGGCATTCCGCTTGGATCTTCGGAGGTCCAGCCGATTAGGCGATATGGTCTTCGACGGCGGCATACTCAGAACGATCTGCTGCTTGAAAATCTTAACCACTTCCAAAGAAGTCACCTTACACTGCAAATTCACACTGGTATTTTTTGCACGGAAAAACTTGAGCAGGCTGCTCTGCGGGTAGATCTCCAGAGAGGATTTCATGATAGAACCCTTATCCGCTGCTCGGGAGTCCTGTCGATCTTGGGGAGAAATAAATACAAGTCAGCAAGTTAAGAGTTAATAACACTTACCTGTTGTCCGTTTATGCTCCATGTAATATTGGCCGGCACATCAGATGGCCACAGACTCGCCCTGCACACAGCCCTTAAGGTATCGTTGACACCAATCACCGTCTTGTCCACCTTCAACATCGGAGGGTATTTGCGGATGGAATCCATCTTCACAATCTCCAGGAAGTGGGCACCGAGTAGTAACTCTGAGAATATAATCCAGCTCAACGCCAGCATATTAAAGACGATGCTCATCCTTCTTCTCCTTCTGGGAGATCTGACGCTCCGAGGATATATGATGCACTACCTCCTGGACTGAAGTCTTTCACGAATGTGAGAGCCTGCTCTTCGTCGTCGCTCTTTTATGCACACTGCCTATTAATCTGCGCAATTGCCTTAAATTGCACTTGCACAATCCATAAATTGAATTTGTGAAATGCCCCTCCAAATTGTAGGATTTATTTTATTTGCATATAATGATCCAAGTTAAGACATAAAAGAGCTTAAAATAGTCATAGTTGCTCCGAGTGTAACTTAAAATACTCGACTTACATTTTCCTTAAAGCCCTGAAATATAGGTGCTTTACTTTGATACCAAAAAGTCATTTCCTGAGATTATTATTATTACTTTAGCAATTAGTCAGTAAACCATCATTTACAAATGCTCCGTATGAAGTCCCGTAACGTTGATAAGCCTATTAAATAGTTCCGCAAAACACGAATCGCACCTTATAAGGTCACACGAATGCGCATTATCGATTGTTAGTAATTGATAGGGTAGTACCGTAGTAATATTTTAATTTTAGCAATCACATTCAGCACCCTTGGTTTGGGAATGTGGCCAGTATCACCATCCGAAAATGAGTCGAGCCCCGAAAAAAAGTAAATTTTATATGGTGTCACGCGATTAGATCCGTAATTCGAACGGATATTTGGTGGGTGGGTGTACGATTCGATTTGCCAGACGAAATCATGCTGATTGCATGCATCGTACGATCTGTAGGCTGATTCCACCTCGAGTTCCGGCACCCGGCTGCTGACGTCAAAGTCTTTAATCGAAAGTCGAGGCGGTGTGACCCACATACAAGCATTGAAAGCACAAGTGTTGGCCTAGCCCTTAGTTGCTGACTAAAGTCGGCCCGGGTAGTCAGATAAGGAACCAAGAGACCGCGGATCCCATGCACCGCACCACGTACTCCTTGACGGGGTGTACAAGTACACAGTGAATAAAAAATTAAACTATTGTACCGGTTATATTTTATATTAAAATTTTTATTGATGGTTAAACAGTTTTGAGGAGCTTAATTGTCATTATACCCTTGCAGAGGGTATTATGATTTCAGTCAGAAGTTTGCAACGCAGTGAAGGAGACGTTTCCGACCCCATAAAGTATATATATTCTTGATCAGCATCACTAGACGAGTCGATCTAGCCATGTCCGTCTGTCCGTCTGTCCGTCTGACCGTCTGTCCGTCTGTCCGTCTGTCTGTTTCTACGCAAACTAGTCTCTCAGTTTTTGAGCTATCGGGATGAAACTTTCCCAAAAGTCTTCTTTCTATTGCAGGTAGTATATATGTCGGAGCCGACCGGATCGGACAACTATATCTTATAGCTCCCATAGGAACAATCGGAAAAAAAAACTTTAAAAAATTCTAACTTCGGTGTTTTTTGAAATATTACCTTCTACTTTTGGGGATGTTATTTTTTTAATATTTCTGAATTTCGAATTAATTATTTAAAAAATCGGACTACTATATCATATAGCTGCCATAGGAACGATCGGAAAATTAATGGAAAAGTAATAGGAAATAAATTCTAGCTTCTTTGGTTTTTGTTGTATTATCTTCTACTCTAGAATATGACTCTTTTTAAATATTTTCGAATTTCAATTTTAATTTTATCGAAATCGGACGACTATATCATATAGCTGCCATAGGAACGATCGGAAAATTAATGGAAAAGTAATAGGAAATAAATTCTTGCTTCTTTGGTTTTTATTGTATTATCTTCTACTCTAGGATATGACTCTTTTTAAATAATTCCGAATTTCAATTTTAATTTGATCAAAATCGGACGACTATATCATATAGCTGTCATAGGAACCATCGGAAAATTAATGATAAATATTAGAAAATTGAACATTTTTGCGATTTGTTAATTAATAGGAATGATCTGCAAGGGTATATAAGCTTCGGCTGGCCGAAGCTAGCTTCCTTTCTTGTTTTTAATTTTTTTTATAAATGTTGTTGCTGAGGTCTTTTGTAATTTCATTCACTCTTTACAAAAATATACCATTTAATTTTAGTTTCAAAAGTTATATTTATAAAATGTAACATTCTGAAATATTAATACAAATATCGAATTTTAATCTCAAGCATATATAACATTTTTAATTAAATGGTATTGCTTATTTTTTCCAGTGCTCTAGCCGAAGACGTCTACGTGCGCTGCAGTGCGGAGCACGAGTCGTTAATTTCACCATTCGCCTGCTCGCACAGTGAGCACTCCGATAAGCCGCCCGCATGCTATAGCACATGTACATCTGTATATATATATAGTAATATATGACTGATTGTCTGCCGAGGCCCAAGACGTCGGTCGTCGTAAACAGCTTATCAGGCAGCCCGACGATGTGGTTACCCGTCGAAACCGCTGGAACGGCAACCAGATCGAGAACCTGTCACAGACAGAGGCCGAGACACCGGCGGCAACATGCAATCACCCGGCGGAGCAAAGTACACCGACCGACGTCATCGTGGAACGCTGACGCAACGACCTTGTCGAACGGCACCCACCTCCCGGCGCTCCCACGACCCACCCACCTTAATGACGACGGCCCAATGTCCAACTGGCCGGCGGTGAATCACCACTGGGTAGTGACTCCCATTAGACTTAATTCCATGACTGGCATTCTTGCGGATCAGCGATTGCAGGATGTTGGGCGGCTTAGCTCTTCTCGGAATCTCGGAATATCACTGAGCAATGCAGTGATTTTTTATTGGGACTGCAATGCGGAACTGAATGGGATTACGATTGGATTTTAGTACGGAACTAGGGTGGATTTACGATGCTATTTTCCCACTTCCTATTGCCTAGATTATTTACAATTTTATTTAAATTAGAGTATTCACTGATTAAACATATAAAATATTACTTTCGTACTACAATCCTTTAATATTATTTTTATTTTCCTCGACTCCTAACTAATTTTAAATTATGGAACCAAGTTGACAAACAACTTTATGGAGCCACTATACCATGAACCTTCCTAACCGACTTTAAGTGATTTGTTTTTGATGGATTTGAAAGATACAAAATGAAAACATCGCTAAGCTTTTAATACCGCGCGGCAGACAAACTGAGAATCAACTTATCGATCATTAGTTCTCTTTTATTTTTAGAAAAACCCTTCTTTTTATAACATGATCATCCGATCCGTTGCCTCTTTCAACAGATTTTGGCCAGACATCGCCTGGAGCCTCAAATCTACGTCCGAAACACAGACACACCACACACTGAAAGCCAAGATTTTTTAGATGATGCTTTTTAAAGTCTGTTTTTTCGTATTTCATTGTGGCTTTGTCTTTGGCGCCGTCTAGCTCAAAAATGTCTAAAACTGTCATTAATTAGAATTTGCAGCGTGTCGAGTCTGTGCCATCCGTCGTCGATTGTCTGGCTGTTTGGCATTAAAATGTTATATCCACCAAAGGCCAAAAGGGGGGACCAGACCAGGCAACGAAATGTTTCTGGAATTCCCCCGCCGCAAAAAAGAAAGCAAGCCCGAGAGTCCGCCACAAGAAAAATTAGCCAACGAGCGCGTGTTTGCCAAAGCAAAAAGAGTTAAAAATAATCATAAATAAAGGTAGGAAAATAAAGCAAACAGCGTTGAGACAAAACCAGTCGGAGATGCCGTTGGAGACCCCGGTGGTGTGGTGGTGGTGGTGCCTCGGACGGGCCCCACTCTAAGCCGCTGAGCCGGCGAACCGCCGAGCCACTCGGAACCACACGCGCCGCGCTTTTGTCATAGCCCGTCATAGTCCACGCGACTGCAGCTGAATTCACACGCTTCATTGTGGCTTATTATTTTTTTTCCACCTTTTTTATTCCATTTGATTGTATTCCGCTTCGTGGAATTCGCGGCGACATTCCCAGCACACTCCGTATATGGTATACGGGCATGTGGATAGATGGATAATGGCCCACAGTCTGGCTTGTCTATTGAGAACGCGAATCGGGTCTAGTTTCCTAGGCCAGATTTGCATCTCAAATTAACCAATTCGAGCAGCTTTTGGCAATCCAGATTGTGATCAGATCCAATTTCGTATTTCTATTGTGAACTCACAGATTTTGGGTTATTTCAGTGGAATTTTTCGCAGAAAGTCCATTAGATAATGAATACGTTTATAGGAAACTATATTTCTATTCTCATATATATTTTCGGAATTTCAATATATTGATTTTCAAAAAATATAATAGAACAATTATTACAAATTAAAATACATTTTTGTATTTAATTTTATTTAATGGATCATCAGGGATTGCCAGTTTATACAAGTAAAAGTATAAATCTAAAGCGTACTGTAATAGTATGAAATATGAAGTTAAACAATCTATACCTTTATAATGTAGGTAATCCCAATCTACTGTTATTTTATTCAGGTGAATATCTACTGTAGGTAATTGCTATTTTCCGACATTTAATTTGCAGCCGACGTTCTGTCAATTAGCTCAATGGAATGGGCCAGTGGCCGTGTGGGCGTTTGATTGATGTTAGAAACGCCGCCACCGGGCGATACTCAAATATGATAATGCAGCCGACCCGCCAACTGACAAACAGGTGTCACTGGCAGGGGATTGGGACTGCGATTGGAATGGGATCGGGAGTGGATGTGAATTGGGGAGGGGGCAGCCAACCCCTTTGGAAGTCGAGTCGTGCTGGTTTTCCCCCAACAGAATTGCATGCAAAAGCAGATAAAGTGCCTCATAAATCAAGAGTATGTAAATAGTTTAACGCGTGTGTGTTCCACTTTATTTGTTCATTGAAGCTTATGAGCTTTGCTTTTGTTGCACACAAAAAAATGTATACTCGAACTATGCAAAATTAATTTTTAATTGCTAAAAGTTCGATTCGATACAAAATAATAAAATAAATATATATAAATAGTTTGGGTAAATGAATTTCATTTCTTATAAATAGATATCTTTTCCTTCGCACATTTTCTGTTTTTTTTTTCCATTATTGCCCATTATTTCAGATCTATTTTTCTGCGTACTTATAGCGTGAGTGATTGGGCCAACTAAACTTCGATTAGTAGTTAACGAAACGCGCTTGGGTTCTAAACTATTGAATTCTCGGAGGAGATCCGTCGAAGCTGCGAATCGTGGCACGTTTTGGTAATTATGGCTCAGTGCAAACTGACTGCCAAAAGTCCACAACTTCGAGCGTCTTTATTTACTCTGTTTCAGGGTTTCGCAAACGCGTGCTATGTATGATCTGCGTGTCTCTACAAATCTTAAATATCAACACTTTTTTTGTGGACTTTTTGCGAGCCAAGTTGACAATTGGTCAGTGCAGAAGCTTGCGTAAGAAGCTCCTCAGTTTTTTGTCCGTAGAACTGCCTTCATTTTCCCTGTATTTTTTTCGGCTTAAATACGCGCGTGTAGCGTCACGCTTCTGTATTTTTTCCTTTGCCATTGCTTTACGTAAAAGTATTATTGAACCCAAAACGTTTAAGAACTCGTGAAATCCGAGGAAGCATTTTCAGTTGGGGATAACCGCATTATGACGAATTTTCAAGCACTTACCTGTGAATTTCTTTTAGAGCACTTTTTAAAGTAACGGAAATAGCAAACTAATTTTCTAAGAGCTATCTGTTTTAATTACTTTATAATCTATCATTGTATTACCTATTATATTATTACGAAGGTCATTATATCATCGATACTTATTGTGTAATATCCACTCTTACGTTATTACGTTATTTATTACATTAGACAATTCACTAGAAAATTAATTGATGTCAAAGTTTATTTATGCTAATTTAAGTCATATAAAATAGTTATTTTTTAAAATTGTTTATTAATTTTCTTTAAAATATTTAAACAAACAATTTTCTCCCATAATTCCGTCTAATATTTCACTCAGCACAATAGTGAAATTTACACCAAAATTATGCAATATCACAAGCATTTAAATAAACCAACAAATAGGTCAAGAGTCTTATAGCTTTCGACTTATGGTTCTAGTTTCTGCCATTAAAGCTCGACGTAGGGTGATTGCAGATCAATAACTTCTCAAGTCACAGCAAATAAGAGCAAAAGAAAAATCGAAAAAATGCACAATGTCAACTGAAATGGAATTCCGATCCAAAGTCAAAGCAACGCTTACGTAACGCCCATAAAGACACTTTAACCCGCGAATTACGCAAGCGAACCGAAAAAAAAGAAAGGGGAGCGAAAAGAAAATATTTATGCTGGAAAGGGGAAAACGTTTCGGGAGAAATTGCACAACAAAGTGACCCATTAAGGTGCTCAACGGAAAGAGAGTATCATGCTAATCTCGACACGCGCCCGCTCCATAAAATCAGATTGGATTCCACAACGTACTAAGTGAGAAAAAAAGTTCAGATAGTCAAGTACTTAAGTACTTAAATTTAGTTAATTTTAGTTACTATTAATATTTAGTCTCTTTTTTCAGCACTTAAAACTAACAAAAATATGGTTGTTCTCTTCCTAGAAATGTATAAAAGTAATATCCTTATTCCTTAATTATAAACTATTGAAACATAACTGATCTTAACATATCCAGACATGAGGTTACCTTTAGAAACTTTATAGTATTACTTTCTGGTGTGTTTTTATATGTTACAAATACATCGAGTTTTATACAAATATTTTTTTTTTAAATATCTTTGCGGTTCTCTACCCATCACTGAAACAGAGTTATCCAGTGTGGTCAGTGGCGACGGCACCAGAAGTTGAGATTGCGAGGGGGATACGGGGGAATATAGCCGGGCGATCCGGCATGGCGACAGAGCAAGAGTCATCAACGGGTGGAAAAATAACAAAAGCTCATGAGCAAACAACAAACAACGCGACGACGGAAACGGAGAGCCAGTTGGACAGGGGGCAGCGGCAGGGGAAGGGGAAGGGGAAGAGGGAGGGTGAGGCGGAGCGGGCCAGAGCAATGGAACCTCGCTAAGATTGTGCGGCACGTGCCGCTGCCGGCGTCGACGGCAAATGGGGGCCAATAGCGAGCGAGCGAGCGGGCGATAGAGCGCCGAGCGCTTTTAAGCGAGCGACGTGCAATTGATCGCGAAAGCGCTTCGCCCATCGCCTTCCCCACCCCCGCGCAATCAACGATCAATCGTTCTACCACCTCCTCATTTTTTGGTGGGAGGGACAGGGCGGTTGCCTGGGGGTTAATGGAGCATGATGGCGTTTCCAATTTGAATGCGGAGCCACCGGGCGGTGCACAAATTATCACGAGTTGCCACTGGCAAACAGCGGCGATAGCTTCGGCAAACAACGAACATTTCGCAAATGTACTTAGGTTTTTATTGAATTATTGCTGGCTAACGTGACAGCTCAAATGTACTTGGCACTTGGCACCTTCGTATTAAAATAATATATTTTTTTGGCTTTTTTAAATGTAAATACAAGTAACAAAACGCATTCCACAGCTACTGATTTATTATAATATATGTTAAAGAGATAGCACTGTTCTGGGAAAAACCAATGAACATTTCTATTCTTTTAGGCTTATCATTTTTAAAATAACAAAAAAAACAATAGCTTATTTTCAATGTTTTATTTTATGACTCTTTAATATATTGTATTTTATTCTTTCAAGAAAAACACTAAAAAAAATAATTTCAATTTTATTGAAATTAAGTTAATGTTATAATAAATTAACTATTATAGTAAAAATTAAAGAAAATTCCTACAATACCGCCATTAATCATATCTCTGCTCCAGTTTACCTATTTGAATGTAAGCATAAATATGAATGAGAACGTGAGTCGGCCGGGGGAACGTGAATTTACAGCTAATGAGGTGTTTTAGTATTTCCCGAACTTAATTTAGGCCTCTCGCTGAATGTATTAAAACTCAATGAATACCGCGGAATTAATTGGTCGAAGTTCGCGGCCGAGTGTGTGTATTCAAAAGACATCGGCCCACCCAAGGAAACACATTCTCGGGTAATTAGAAAGTTCAAATCTATAAAAATGCCTGCGTTAATTTGCTGCTTAGTGAATGGACAATAGGCCGTTCAGTGGACGGTGATATACATATGGGAGGGGGGGTTTTCGGGCGCAGTTCTCAACTTGGGAGCACGCCAAGCCAAGGCATCATCACACAGACATATCATGGGCTCTGTACCGCAGTACCGGCTCCAAGTCTAAAGTGCTCGGGCTTTGCTGACGCACGAGATGATTATCAGAGGGCGTCGTTTGGGGGGCCGGTCGCCGGGGGGAGGGTGGTGGGTGGGCACAGGGGCGGTCAGCGGACGGACGGTGATCGGTGATCGGTCCGCTGGCAATCAGCAACACGAGCCACAGCCCCAATTGAGCGTGCTGCTCGTGCTGGCAGCTCGTGCCGGCGAGAAAACAACGCCGATCGATCAGTCAGTCGGTCAGTCAGTCATTTAGTCACTCAGTCATTTGATCAGTCGGGCTCTGAATTCGTTATGGTAATCATCATTAGCGCGAAGCGACGTACTCGTGCCAGACTTGCCTTATTTTAGCCAAAGGTCAAGCGCCCGACTCGGGGACTTAAGAATACGGAAAACGTCTTGTTTAAGATGGGAAGGGGGGCTGTCCAGCGAAAACTAGGGAAAAGCATTTCCGTTTAGCAGAAATCAATCAGCGTTTCACTGGAAACGCAGGCACCTCCCGTTGATCTTTGGATCCCGATCAACCGACAGGTTTCGCTCTCCATCTGACTAATCAGCGGGTCCGCGTTCTCGGAACCCGCCACTTGACATAGCTCACTCGCCACTCGTGATTTGTCACTACGACTACTTCCTGAAGACCAGATGCCAAGGGTCTGAAATTGCCACCAGTTCGAGGGGTTCTTACAGAAGGCGGAACTGCCTTGGGCTGGGTGCTCAGCTCAGGCGGCTTATCAATCGCCAGACATTAGTGCCACCCGCGGGGCGCATCGAGGTCAACCGCTCAATTGTCTTGATAAGAAGCCAGTCGAGTGGTGGGGCTCTTGGATCGTGGCTTTTGGAATGGGTCTGGGGTCGACCGTCGAAGAAATCGTCTAAACTTAAGCCCCTCGAGCCGGTGCCTCTTGGCTTTATGACATTCGACTGCCTAATTAGCGTCCGTACTCCAGTTGTTTACTTAGACGCCGCACTAGATGCGATTAGATTAAGTGGCTGGTCGATTGGCCTCATGATTGATGGTTTATTTTTAGTAGCTCTCGGATTATTAATATTCATTTATTGTGACTCCTGGACTCCTCGAGTGCCGTGTGTAATCAGCACTGCAGAGTGGGCACTTTTTTTGTTCTTTAGAATTTATGGCAGACACCTTTTTGCGCCGGACTTTGGCACACTTGTGTGTGCTGCGGACCTTCGGCTATCTGGGTCTTTGGGTCTACACAGCTGCCGCAGTATTATCGATGGGGGTATCGCCTTCCTGGTATCTATTTAGTACGGCGTGCTAAACTGGAGACGCGGTTCTATCTAAGAAACCATGTGACCTACCACGTGACTTGCGGCGCAGAAAAAGGTGACTTTTTGTCAAGTTCAGCAATCAATTGCAGAAGGTGTAAATAAGGTTTAATCAGTTGGTTAATTTGCTAGTTATCGTGAGTGGGAAATTAAGTTATTGTTCAAATTCCATTACCTTCGACAAGGGAAATACCATTTCTTCAGTTCTAGCCCACAGGTTTTCCAATACAATATTTTTCTTTTCTCTTTATTTTAGTGCCTACACTTACTTAATTATGTTATTAAATAAACATTCACAAATTTCTACGACAGGGAAAAATACAGTTGAAACACAGCTCGGGTCATGTCATACGCCATCCACCTCACTTTAACCATATAGTCTCCTTCCGGAAAAGGCAGGATTTTGGTTAATCTGTGATTTGTAAAATCTGTTGTTATCCTATCCAGCACAATGTCATGCTAGAAATATTAAAAATAATACACACAATAAAGGTTTGTGTCAGTTTTTTCGTGTATACTCACGTCGTAGGGACAGGAGTGGTTTATATTTGACCTGCCACTTATGAAGTCGTGTAAGTAACCAATAACGGGATTGGTTCTTGGATTAGCGAGGAATTTGCAGGCATCAATCGTTATATTATATAGGAAAGGCCGATAGCCACTAAAACGTTTATAGAGCGCCGGATTCACCTAATTCACATTGTTAAGGTTTTATAAATTATACAATATTAAGTTTCTATTCTATAAACATACCGTTACTTTGGTCACCGGAATTTGATAGAGATTGGCTTTTAAGGAAAAGTATTTGTAGGTTCTGTTCACAGATTTCAAACGACAATACTCGAAGTTCATAAAATCTTTATCGACAGACTCACACTTGATGTTTGTAAACTCAACTAGCGAATGGACCTAAAAATAAAGTTTGCTAAAATGATTTTTACATATTTTAGATGACTTAGTACTTCTCTGATCAAAAATGTACTTAAAACGAAGGCAGCGAGAACTTTTTTATTCATTTTATTGTGTTTAGCTCTCCGCGAAAACTGATCTAAATGTTAAGTAAAACCTTTTAAGCTGGACGATATTATTATAATTATTGCTTTAAAAAGCACTTTTAAGCGATTAATTAGCAGAGGTAATAACATTTAAATATTAGGCATCGGGTTTTTGGATCCGTACAATTATGTCATTAAACTACAATTACTGCTTGAAATTAAGCACTTTTAATTTTGGCATTATGTGTTGTGGTTACTTTTGATTAATTTTTTTAAAGTCGAATTTGATTTTTTATTCAATATTTCTATGTGGTACGCTGTTTCCAAAAATGATTATTAAAAAACATTTTATCAGTTAGTATTTATGAGCTGCAAACCTGGGATCCCTTTCAGAGTGATTTCATTTCTAGATATATCAGGGCTCTTATCACCGTGGTCTTTATCTTGACTTATCGATGACTTCTGCAGACCCGGCTGGCCACCCTATTGACACATCACCCCCACCCACCTCGAAACGCTTTGTTTATCTTTGGCAGTCGAGCCCACTTGAGTGCTGGGCCGTTCCGTGGCAGCGAGTCAATAACACTTGGGGAATTGACCAAGTCCCCCCGAAGTTCTTATCACAAGGAGCGTGACTGTTCCGCCCACCGACCCCCTTCCCAGTTTTTGGCCCCTGGCCGCCGTCTTATCATGAGATCCAAAACCCGTGCTCTCCACGGTTATATATGGTATATGTATTTATTTCGAAACGGGGGGAACGTCAGCCGTCCTTATCGGGCGTACACATAGAGATAGGTGAGCGTACACGTAAATAGATTATATCTAGGTAGCTGGCAGGGGCATGACTTTTTGCGTGTGCCATGACGAATGCGCCTCGCAGCGGACTCTCTACTCTCTGCTAAATAATGCTATTTTTACACCGACACCGACCATATACCGTACACCCACCGCCCATCGCCCATCGGGGGGGAAGCAATGAACTGCGAGTTGTTGAAAAAATTTTCCATGAATCGCTGTAGTTTTTTTGTTGTTTTTTTTCTTCCTTCGCCCCGGGTCTGTGTTGTTTGCCTGTGCAACATGTACGTACACATAGTCGTAGAGCCGCTTTTATCAATAATTATTTTGTTGTGCTCGCCGCGAGTTGTGTCGAGTGGTTTTTCTTATCACCACCTGACGCCCCGGTGGGAGGTGGTCTTCGGAGTGCGGGGGCTCGAGGGTTTTGGGGGCGCTGTGTAACTGGGGTTGGGATCTCGGGCTGGTCGTGTGACACAGACACACAATCACGTAGGCACAGACGGTTGAGCCCGGGCTGGGCGCTATAATTAGACAGTCTCAGTCAATATTAGCCGTGCAAGGCTGGCACGATCGCCCGATCGATCGATCGATTGTAATATCTACACAGGGGAAAAATACTTATGTATAAAAGGGTGCTTTTGTAGTTTATTAGTTAATATAAAAAATGTTCAGATTTTAAACACGGTTTCTTGGATTGATTTACGATCAAATATCCCCAATCAATTACCTTTTATAATTGAAATTTTTTTATTTAATAAAAAAATATTATTAAAAACATTTTAACTACTTCTAAGATATTATTAAAATTTTACTAATTTGTAAACCCTTAAGTAAAACATTTTAATGATATTGCTAATTGCTTCATCCGTGCACGTATATCCAGTTAACTACCAATCCACTGTTGCCATGTTAACCATTACCTAAGCCACTCAAAATGATCGACTGATCGCCTCCGACGGGCTTGGTTTGGCCTATCTGCTAATTGATTGACGCAGTAACTATGGGGCAAAACTATATGGTCGTAGGGGTAACGTATCGTATCTACTATACTCGTAGTGATTGTCAAGGGGTCCCAGTCTTATCGGCTACACTTCGAGTGGTGGAAAATTTGAGCTCGCCTGGTGGCCATTTTCTCAATGCGGCCAGCAGGTTTTTCGGCTGGCCCGTGAAATCGATGGGCAATTTAATGCATTGCAGCAGCGGCCATTACTCAAAAATGACTCTATCCCGCTCGCAGGCCATCCATCCCGTTCGCTCCGAAACTAATTAAAGCTGCAGCGCATCTCGGGATCTTCTGCAGCTGCTGCACTTGGGTGTTAACTTGCTTAACGTGCATCAAGTCGCATGCAATTATGAGATGCAAAAGGGTTCGGTCTGGCAGGCATCCCAACATCCCAGTGCTTCGATTCGCTGCAAATGCAAATCGGAGTGGTTGGGCCCCGACTACCCAAGTAGCCCTTGTCTCGATCCCGAGCCTCTGTGTAATTGAACAATTTTCTCCACCGGTCTGAGATCGAGACAAAGGCCCAGGTCCTCTGGGAGGCAGCAATGGCGGTGGAAGTCACAGTGGTTAAGATAAATTGAAAACCTGATGTGATAAGCCTTAAGATTTAACAATGAATGTTAGTGAATATATTCGGGTTTGTTGTACAATCGTTTCTAAACATTATTATTATCCATTTTTGTATTTAAAATATCTCTTTGTTAAAACTACTTTTTTGAATATTTATTTATTGTATTTAAAATTTGTTATTTGAATTACAATTAAAAGAGTTAAACAGTTTTAAAAATAATCTTAATCTTAGTGAATATATTCGGGTTTGTTGTACAATCGTTTCTAAACATTATAATTATCCCTTTTTGTATTTAAAATATCTCTTTGTTAAAACTACTTTTTTGAATATTTATTTATTGTATTTAAAATTTGTTATTTGAATTACAATTTAAAGAGTTAAACAGTTTTAAAAATAATCTTAATTATGGCTGTCAAATTTAAATTATTATTTATTATTTTGTTAACTATTCTATGGTATTTATAAAATGATTCATATATTTAGGATTTAAACAAGTGAAAAATAATAGCAATAACAAACAATGTCGTGCCCAGGGTCGTCTGGAGAGTCAAGTAAGTTGCTGGACTCAGTGTTTATTTGGGCCCAACCGGCTCTCTGGCCAAAAACAACAACAGGAGCTGCCGCACACGACGCTGGCAACAACTAAAACAACGGCCAAGATGGTGCAGGGCAAACAAAGGCGTTGGCCATAACAACTCAATACACAAGGCAGGGCAGAGGATGGGATCGGTGGACAAGGATCGCAGGGCGGGACCGAGATGAGATACCCAGACTGTAAAAGGGCAACTCATCCGCTGCCAGACTCTCGCAATGGCAATGGCAATTTATGTAAATATCCGTACAGCCTTGATTTCCATGTAAATTCAATGGGACATGGAACCTGGAACCTGGGATATCGGGGCAGGTGCGAACTACTTTCAAACTACCGATCGGGGCAATCAGTGGGCAAACAAATACGGATTCGTATTGTTGCTCGTATTTGTTTGCCCTGCCCTACTGTTTGTGCAGTCGGATATGGCAGCTAATTAGCCGGGTGCAGGTTCTAATGCGGCCAGCCGTGCCGACGGTGCGTATGAGTAATGTCACACCCAGTGCTCGCGCACAAATATTGACTGCGTTTGGCTTTTCGCACCGAGTTCAGCGACGAGCGTCAACGACTCTTGAACAAGCCAGCGGATCTGTTTCTGTCAGCTCTCCAGGCTTATTTTCCCTACCTTTTTTTTCGCAGGGCAAACAAGAAAGTGACTTGCAAATATTGACAGATCGACCGATACGAAGGGTGCAAAATGAAATTCAATGAAAAGCACAGCAAGGCTAGGAAAGAAACGATATATAGGAATATCTAGAATATATTTACCGAAGTAGACTCCACCTTAACCCCACCTGCCGACCATCCGCTGACGTAAATGCGGCTGTGGCAGCGAAAAAACAAAAAACTTCACAGCAGTAATAACCACAAGGCATTTGATAATGACGCGTGCTGTACGCCGCCCCTTCCCCGCCGCCACGCCCCCTCGCCAGTCACCGGTTCTTTCCTCTGATAAAAGTGTTTAACATTCATTAAGATTAATAATGAATAAAAGGCCGCGCCAGCCAAACGAGTTTCAAATAATTCTTTTCTTTTGTCGCGCTCAATGTATCTTTTCAAGAAATATTTCTTTACCCAGATTTTTTGCATAAATGTATTTCTTTTCACGCGACATTCCCCATAAACCAGAAACCTTTGATGTCTAATTTTTCAACTGGTTCTCGCTGCCGCATTTTAATATGTGCCAGACATCCACACATATATCCTCGATTTTATTTTTTGAGAATCAGTTTTGCGGCAGAGTTTTGCCTTACTTTTTTTCGAAATGTTTTTGGGTGGAGTTGATGAATTAAATTTATGGGGCTCGCATGGAGCTGTTGAATTACCGAAGATCTGTAGTCGTTAGATGTGTTATCTTATATATGAGAACAAATATTTTGTGGTTTATTAATCTGCATAAAAATAACTTGTATTCTATTGAAGTGAATGAATATAAAATCGACAAGAGTTTGGGATTTGTGGCTTAGTAACGATGACTTGAAGAAATTCTTGGGGGGGATTTTTATGCTAGCTATGCGCAGAAACCCCCATTAAATGGAAATTAGCGGCGTCATTATTTTTCCAAGAGAAAACTAAGTGAAAATTATTCCCGACCAAGTATTGCAAAACGTTTAACATTAAAATGTAGGCCACCGAAGCCTGAATCAACTCGGCGAGCTTTGGGAATTTTTTCAAGCAACTTACAAATATTTTTCGAAGCGCCACAGCAACTAGTATTTTTAGCTAATGAATATGTATGAGGGTCGGCTAAAATATGTCTATGTTTTCGGGGAGGAAGCACTGGCTAGTATAAGCTATTCAGAATCTTCGCCTCATACATATTGTATGGCTACGCTGGCGGAATAAATATTTGCGGGGAATTAGCATAGAGCAGACTAACCCCGACTTGGTGCCAGATGTGGGGACAACGTCGCGAGAGTTTTCTAATTCCATTTTAATTGTTTTGATGGTCCATTCATTTGACGTCAATGGTATTATAGAAACAAATACAGATACCGAATACCGAATACCAGCAGCAACAACTGTGACAGCCTGATGATCCGAAACTGGTTCGATCTCCACGACTTTTTCAACGGTAGCATCAGGAATGTCGGAGCTGTCGGTGGAGCCATGAAAACCGTGACAACTGGGCACGCTG